GGGGGGGGGGGAGGGGGGAGAACGACACCTCGTTGCTGCTGCTGCTTCGCTGTCACGAAGGTGGTGTATTGCGCCATCCACAAATTGTGCGGTTGAAAAATAGAATCACCCCGTCTTATGTGTCGTGTTTATTGTCTGGAAGGGCCCGTATTCTTCGGGGGGGGAGGGGGGGGAGGGAGGCGGGGGGGCAGCTGGGGACAGCGGCAGGTATCTCACCAACCACCTGCTGGAAAGAGCTCGTTGCGCGGATGACAACACAGGCGAGTGCGGGAAATTGATTCGCTGCTGTTCTTCCTGTGAGTCGCCGAGGCCTGCTGTTCGTTGAGAGGAAGACGGCGGGCACTTTTGGAAAGAAAGGGATTGAGCTTGAGACTTATGCACCACGTCCTGTTGGTCTGCTTTCTGTTGTCTTTTTCGTGTCCCAGTACATGAGGTAGTTGGGCGCGTTTGGCGCGTTTTTTTTTCTTTGTTTTTTTTTTTTTCCCGCCGATACTTCTCGCCGTTGCTGTCGTTCCCTCCCCGTTCTACAGCAGTTGTTAAGCATGGTGCGAAGATATTCAACGTCGCAGATTTCCATGGCAAATTGTCTTGGCAAAGTTAGGGGGTGGGGATTGGAGGTGCAGCGATTGAGCGGGTGGTGACCTCTGAAACGTTGGCCCCTTTATTTTTTGCCAAGACAACGACGATATGTAGTACCGCACGGTTGGTTTTGATTGCAGCAGATGGCAACAACTGGCGTCCACGTACCTCTGTCGGTGATGGCATAGGCGTTTGTCCCAACGCTGTCGTTTTCTCCTTTCGCGAAGCGCTCGGCTTCCGGTGTTCGTGGTCGACCTGTCCGTGTGGTTAGAAACGTGGGTGGTCTGAGTGCCGACCGGCATGTTTGAGGTCGTCGGTGGTTCGTAGTCTAGATCGAGGAGACGTTGTAGCAGGACGACAGGCAACAACGCGTCTACAGGAACAACCGAGAGATTTCGAAGTTTGGTGGCGTGTGTCAAGTGTTTTTTTTTTCTTCTCGCGCCCCTTGATTTGGTGTGCGGCACGTGTTGCTTTTCGGAATATGGTTTGCTTTGCTTTGGGGCCGGGGGTGGGTTGTCGTTTGCCGGGTTCTCGTCTTGAATGGTGGCTCTTCCTTATTCTAGCCCTCAGGTACCCTTATGGAAGGACGCGGCATATAGCGCAGGTGACGAACAAAGAAAATTGACGCCAAGGCTGCGAGAGAACGGGAAGGAGACTGCGGGTAGGCCAGCGGAGCAATGGCCACCCACAATATCTGGCACGCAAATTGTATGATACTACCAGGATAACGGGGTTAGGAACGTTTTTGTTGTTTTTCGTTCTGTTTCGGGGTAATAGATACACCGCAGGCGTATTTTTTTTGTTCTGTTTCCGACCTTGCTCATTGTGTGTTGTAGGCTGGGGTGTTCATGCCTTTTTATTTTTTTCGGCTGCCTCCCACCCAGCAGTGAGCGGCGTTTTGCGCTTTCTCATATAGCCTTTGTCTTTTGATTGCGACAGCAGTTTCAAAATCCGAGAAATCGTGTGGTGTTACGGGGTGTCGTCTGTTTTCTTGTCGCTCTCTGTTGGTGACCTGCTCTTTTTGGCAGCAACAAGGCCCCCTGTATTTCGTGTCTTGATATCTCTTGGGCGTGCGTCGGGTAACGTAGACCTCTGCCATCTCCCTCCACCACCCTGCGGCGGCGGGGATCAGGGTGGCGACTTCAGAACAGAGCTATCGGCAAGACTGGCGGTGTGTGTGTTTGCCTTCTGTGTGTTGCCGTTGGCCACCGGCACCTGCCTGTATTCATGCAATGGCTGGTTGCTTGGCCACCGAAATAATCACCAGGTTTGGGACCAAAAAGGCCCTGTTCTATAGTTTGGTACGTGCGAGGAGTTTCTACAGCTGCGCGCGGGGTTCGAAGAAGGGGCGGGAGTGGGCGGGCAGCGTAAGGTAGCGCGTGGTTTGTGGTGAAATGCCGCAGCCGAGTGTTGCTTAGCCTCTGTGACGTTTTAGCTACGCCATGTCGTGCTTTGTCGTTTTTTTTTTTCTTTTGTGATGGATGTCTCTGCCCAAATGGTACGTATCATAGGTAGAAGACACCTGTAGCTCAAGCCTGGCTGTACCAGGGCTTGGTGGGCGCGCGCAGGGCGGGGGGGTGCTTCAAAGAATGTCTTCTGTCAAAATGGTGCAGGATGCTCAATTGCGCGGCCTTTCTTTGTGTGTGCGTAGCGTACATTTTGGTACCTAATCGTTTCGACTTTGCACTTGAACACACCCACCAATGTACCAGTCAGTGCTGTTTGGCCACAGCTTGTCGAATCGTGAACTTTTTTTT